TACTATATGCAACCTGAAACTTTATTTGCATAATCAAAACTGACAATTTATATAATCAAACCTGGCACTTTATTTGCATAACCAAATCTAGGACTTTATTTTCATGACGTTAAAACGGATACTTTATTTGCATAATCAAAACTGAGAATTTATATAATCAAACCTGGAGCTTTATTTGCATAAACAAACCTGGGACTTTATTTTCATAACGAAAACTGAGACTTTATTTGCAAAATCCAACCTGGGACTATATTTGATTTATCAACCCTGACAATTTTCTAAATACATTATATACCAATATTTTTAATCCCGATCACGGTTCCCGTAAACCTTGAAGTTTGTATGAGTACCGCAGTAACTGCAACCCTAGCTGCAGCGGTCAGTCTTGGGCAAGATAGCCTGACGGAGCACAACCCTCACCAACTTGTTTTTGTTTTTTGTAAATTAAACTAAAAAATTAATTTGATTAAAAAATATTGCACAATTTTAAATTTATAGATATAACAGGCGTTAATAGTTGCTATAATGGTTATTTATTTGCAGATGCAAATTCAGACTCTGCAGTAATTTCACAGAAAATTTATGATGACGCGGGTGGCTGTTGAAAAGTCCTCGACCTAACCAAGAACTCGTCCCAGAATAAATTGTGGTATTTGGCTATTTTCTCTGATTTGGGGTAAGGCGTCTGGCCGGGGTTTTTTTTCTGTTGCTTGAATGTTTCACCAAATTCGCATTGGCAGTAAAATGCACACAAAAAGTTAGAAGTTAGCAGCATATTAAACAACTATTGAATACTTCGATTCCAGATTTACAAATGTCGTTTGAAAGCAACTCCTAGGGGTTGTTAAAGGGGGGAGGGGGGTAACAGAAAAAAAGAAAACGGTAATGAGATAGAAATGAATAGAAAAATAAGAGAAAGAAAGAGAGAAGAAAATGATAGAAAAATTTAAAGGCAGAAAGAAAGAAGAAATATAAAAATAGTAAAAGATAGAATAGGAAAAAGAAAGAAAGAAAGAAAGAAAGAATGTGAAAACATGAAAAAAGAAAGGTGATGAACGGAGAAAGAAGGAAAAAACGAAAGAAAGAAGAAGACAGTGCAAAAAACAGAAAGAGCGAGAAAGAGAGAAGTAGAAAAGAAAGAATGTAAGAGAAAGAGAGAAGGAAGGAAAATAAGGAAAGTAGAAGGTGACAGAGGGAAAAGACAGAAAGAGAGAGAAAGAAAAATAAAAGAGAAAGAGAGAGAAAGAGAAAGAGAGAGAGAAAAGAAGGAATGTAATAGAAAAATAGGAAAACGTAGAAGTAAAAAGAAAAAGAAAAATATTAAAAATAGAATAGGAAAAAGGAAGAAAGAAGGTGAAAACCTCTAAAAGGAAAGGAAGCGTTAAGTTTAACAAAGAAAGAAAGAAAGAAAGAAAGAAATCAACAGAGAGGAAAACAGAATGAAAAGAAGTGAAAAGAAGAAAGAAAGAAAGAAAAAAGGAAAGAAAGAAAGAAAGAAAGAAAGAAAGAAAAGAGAAAAAGAAGTGGAAAAGAAGGAACGTAACAGAAAAATAGACAAAGAAAGAAAGAAAGAAAGAAAGAAAGAAAGAAAGAAAAAGAAAAAAGAAAGAAAGAAATCAGCAGAGGGAAAACATAATGAAAAGTGGAAAAGAAAGAATGAAACAGAAAAATAGAAAATTAAAAAGTAATTCGGGAAAGAAAGAAAAAAAAAATAGTAAAAAAAAGATAGATAAAAAGAAAGAAAGAAATAATGTCGACTAGCACAACAGAGCGTGGGAAAGGAAGAACTAGGAAAATAAACGAAAGACATAGCAAAAGAGGAAAGGAAATAGAAAAAAAAGTGATAGAAACAAAAAAGAGAAAAAGAAAAGTGATAATAGAAAAACAAAGAAAGGAAGAAATACAAAATTAAAAAATAGAAACAGAATGAAACAAAAGAAAAGGATGAATAAAGTGATGACAATTGCCGGTTGTTTTCATCCATTATTATCTTTGTATTAAGTAAGCTGTAGCCAAAGGGTACACGATACTTCAATTCGTGATTGGTCACGTCTGTCAATCGATCCTGTCCACCTGGACAGGCTTCTTAAAGACAAGAGAAAGCAAATGGCCGTCACTGTCCAGGTGCCTCCTCTCAGCTAACAGAATATCGGCGTCAGCATAAGTCCTGAGAATCGTTGAGGCTTTGACTGTAAAAGAGACCACACACAAAGGAAGCGTCAAGAGTGGACAGATTATGTCCAAAGTGCGTAGAAAGAAAAATAAGTGTTGTAACATGAATGAAAGAAATTAACATGGAGAAGGTCAACCATTTTGTAGCGAGAAGTGGTTAACGCGGAAATCTCGTGTTGGTGCTGGCGTGATCGAACAAGAGCACACATTCACACACACACACACGCGCGAGCGCGCGCGCACGCAGAGGAGAAAAGGGTGAGTGCTAATCCCAGTGTCGGAGCGGTTATTTCCGAAATTGATTGAATCCAGTAAAGAAAGAAATAAACAAAGAGTAAAAACACTGGAAGAAAGAAAGAAAGAACGGTAAACAAGAAGGAACTGTAGCCATGAAAGAAAGGCTTAGAAAAGAGTAAAGAAAGAAAGAAAGAAAGAAAGAAAGAAAGAAAGAAAAAAGAAAGAAAGAAAGAACGGTAAACAAGAAGGAACTGTAGCCATGAAAGAAAAGCTTAGAAAAGAGTAAAGAAAGAAAGAAAGAAAGAAAGAAAGAAAGAAAGAAAGAAAGAAAGAAAGAAAAACTGGTAAACAAGAAAGAAAAGCTTGAAAGAAAAGAGAAAAGAAAGAAAGAAAGAAAGAAAGAAAGAAAGAAAAGAAAGAAAAGAAAAAGAAAGAACGGTAAACAAGAAGGAACTGTAGCCATGAAAGAAAAGCTTAGAAAAGAGTAAAGAAAGAAAGAAAGAATGAAAGAAAGAACGGTAAACAAGAAGGAACTGTAGCCATGAAAGAAAAGCTTAGAAAAGAGTAAAGAAAGAAAGAAAGAAAGAAAGAAAGAAAGAAAGAAAGAAAGAAAGAAAGAACGGTAAACAAGAAGGAACTGTAGCTATGAAAGAAAAGCTTAGAAAAGAGTAAAGAAAAGAAAGAAAGAAAAAGAAAGAAAGAAAGAAAGAAAGAAAGAAAGAAAGAACGGTAAACAAGAAGGAACTGTAGCCATGAAAGAAAAGCTTAGAAAAGAGTAAAGAAAGAAAGAAAGAAAGAAAGAAAGAAAGAAAGAAAGAAAGAAAGAACTCTAAAGATGAAAGATAGGTGTAGAAAAGAGTAAAGAAAAAAAGGGAAAAAAAGAAAGAAAGGTAAACAAGGAGAAACCGTAGCCATGAAAGAAAGGTAGAGAAAAAAGTAAAAAAGAACGAAAGAAAGAACGAAAGAAAGAAAGAAGGAAATAAAGAAAGAACGAACGAAAAAGAAAGAAAACGAAAAGCGGGTGAGTATGACAAAAAGAATGGTCATTTGATAATTATAGTCTAAAATTAACATATTTAATGCCATGCCAATCCATTGGATGGTTGATCTTGGCTCTCTACAGATTCCTTTTTTTATCTAGGAATTACCATAAATTTTCGGAAGCTAGTAGAACGCTCTCTCTCTCGTTGCCTTTTCAAAGTTTTTGAAATAAGTAATTCTCTTAGAATAAAGAACCCTGTCTTCCCTGCTATTTAATACAAAGTAAGTCAGAGAGCCGTTTTTACTTGTTATAAAACAGGTCAAAAATTCAAAGTCGTTTATTTTCTTTCTTTTTATGTGCCGTGTCCTTTCTGGACGTAGGCGATCATGGCTCTCCACCACCTTCTATCCCTTGCAGCTCTCAACAAGTTCCTTCCCTCTGCCATCTCCTCCACACCACGTTCTGTTATTCGCTTGCTTAAAGCCGATAGGTATGCCACGCGTTGTTTTCCCTTGTCTCTCTTTCCCTCTATTCGACCCGTGAGTATCAGATTCTCAAGGCCCTCCTTCCTCAATATGTATCCCGGGAACTTCAGCTGCCTCTTTCTGATGTTAAGTCTAAGCCTCTTCCTTGTTTGCATCCTTTCTAAGACTTTATCGTTACTCACACACTCGGCCCATGATATCCTTAACATCCTTCTGTAGAACCACATCTCTGTCGCCTTGAGTCTCTTCTTCATCTTTGAGGAAATCGTTCAACATTCGCTGCCCTAAAGAACAGATGTCACATAACAGCTCAGTATTCTTTTCTTTGTTGCTAATTCGTCTCGCAATGTTCTGCTCAGCATTTTGGGATGTGTCCTTGGCCATCCCAATACGTCCACGGATCTCAGTGTCGCACTTACCGTCCTCTGTCAGAACGCTTCCCAGATATTTAAACTGCCGAATCTGTTTGATTCCAGTGTTATTAGTAACTACAAAAGACAAGAAATTTTGAAGAGCCATGATCTCCGATGTTTTGCATATAGAAGAATAGAAGAGAAGATAATCCAACAACTTTACTGAAAAGTTAAATCTGTTGGAGGTAAGTGAAATCTTAAGTGTAAATCCCGAAAGATATAGACATCGAAGTAGCCAGAAAAGATTCCAGAGAGACTTGCGAATCAATATAACACCTAATTCCATTAATAGAATTCGATGTGTCGCTTCTTTGGGGAACACGATAGGACTTAAGAATTCTATATACCCACTAAGAAATGGAATGTCACAAAAGAAGATCAAAGGTCATAAGAAACAGAATTATACCCGAAACAATACAGTTCTTGAACTTTGGTCGATATAATTTTATATTTATTAACTATCTACTCTGGAGTTACGAAATCAACAAATAGGTTTCTTTATAGACTTAAAATTATTTCCATGATTTGTGATAGTGATAACAGGTTGGGTGAGGCTAGGGAATTCCCCGGTTTTAAGAAATGGTTTCTACGCGAAATCTGGAAAACTTTAGGACAGTTGTTGCCAATAAACAAAAAAGCGAATAAAATCGATTGTTAAATAGGAAAGAAAAAAAAAAGAGGATGAAGCCGAAAAGTGATAAATGTAACTGTTCAAGAAAGAAAGAAAGAAAGAAAGAAAGAAAGAAAGAAAGAAAGAAAGAAAGAAAGAACATGAAAAGGAACAAAATTGTTAAGAAAGAAAAATATGAAATGAAGAAAGGAAAAAGAAAGAAATAAAGAAAAAGAATTGTTTAAGAAAGAAAAGAAATGAATGAGAGTGAAAAGAAAGAAAGGAAAGAAAAGAAAGAAAGAGAGAGAGAGAAAGAAAGAACATGAAGAGTTTAAGAAAGAAAAGAAAAAATGAAGAATGAAAGAAAGAAAGAAAAAAACATGAAGAAAGAAAGAAAGGAAGAAAAAGAATGAGAGAAAGAAAAAGAAAGAAAGAAATATGAGAAAGTGAAGAAAGAAAGAAATATAAGAAAGAAAGAAAGAACATGAGAGTGAAAGAAAGAAAGAAAGAAAGAACAAGAAATGAAAGAAAGAACAAAGAAAGAAAGAAAGAAGAAAAGAAAGAAAAAAGAAAGAAAGAAAAGAAAAGAAAAGAAAAGAAAGAAAGAACATGAAGAGTTTTAAGAAAGAACATGAAGAAATGAAACAAAGAACAAATGAAAAAATGAAGAGAAAAAAAGAAAGAAAGAAATCAGAGTGAAAGAAAGAAAGAAAAGAAACAAAAAAAAGAAAGAAAGAAAGAAAGAGTTTAAGAAAGAAAAGAAAGAAAAATGAACTAAAAAGAGAAAGAAAGAAACAAAGAAAGAAAAAAAGAAAGAAAAAAGAAAGAAAGAAAGAAAGAATTTAAGAAAGAAAGAAAAACAAAAAAGAACAAAAAGAATGAAAGAAAAAAAAAAAAAAGAACATGAAACCTTTAAGAAAGAAAGAAAGAAAGAAAAATGAAATGTGAAAAGAAAGAAAAAAAGAAAGAAAACAAACAAAAAAAGAATAAAGAAAGAAAGAAAAACATAAAAATAATGAAAGAAAGAAAAGAAAGAAAATGAAAATGAAATGAAAAAAAGAATAAAAAAGAAAAAAAAACTAATGCTGAAAAAGAAAGAAAGAAAGAAAGAAAGAAAATGGGAAAGAAAGAAATGAAATGAAAAAGAAATATAAGAAAAAAATGAAAAATGAAAAAAAAGAAAGAAAAAATGAAAGAAAGAAAGAAAGAAAAAGATGAAAAAAAAATAAAAGAAAGAAGAAAGAAAGAAAAGCAAAAGAAAAACAAATAAAAGAAAAATGAAAGAAAAAATGAAAAAAGAAAGAAAAAGCAAAGAAAATGAAATAAAGAAAGAAGAAAATGAAAGAAAGAAAAGAAAGAAAAGAAAGAAAAGAAAGAAAGAAACATGAAAAGAAAAAGGGAACCTAGAAGCCTGAAAGAAAGAATGAAAAGAAAAATGAAAAAGAAAGATGAAATGAAAGAAAAAAAGAAAAGTGAAAGAAAGAATATGGAAAAACATTTTGAAAGAAAGAAACAAAGAAAGAAAGAATGAAAGAAAGAATGAAAAGAAAGAAAAATAAAGAAAAAAAGAAAGAAGACAGAAAATGACATAAAGAAAGAAAGAAAGAAAGAAAAAGAAAGAAAAAAGAAAGAAAGAAAAACGCTGAAGACAAAAGAAAGAAAAATGAAAGAAAAAAATTGAAAAAAAAGAAAAGAAAGAATGAAAACCAAAAGAAAGAAAAAAAAAAAATGAAGTGTTAAAAAAGAAAGAAAAATCGAAAAAATGAAGAAGGAAAGAAAGAAAAGAAATATGAAGAATGAAAGAAAAGAATAAAAAAAAAAAACAAAAAAAAGAAATAATGAAAAAATGAAAGAAAAGAACATGTAGACAGAGAAAAAAAACATGAACTAGAAGAAAGAATATGAAATATAAAAGAATGAATGAAAGAGAAAGAAAGAAAAAAAGAAAAAAAGAGAAGCGTTAAAAAAGAAAGAAAGAACATGAAACCCGAAGAAAGAACATAAAAGAAATTAAAGAAGGAAAAAAAGAAAAAAAAAAAAAATAAAAACTGAATGAAAAAAAAGAATACTAACAGAAAGAAAGAATGAAAAAAGAATAAACATGATCAGAAAGAATAAGTGACCTGGAAAAAAAAGAAAAGAAAGAAAAAAAAGAATGAAATAAAGAAAAAATATGAAAAATAAAAGAAAAAAAAATAAAGAAAACTAGCACCGTTAATGAAAGAAAGAACACGAAACCCGACAGAAAAAGAAAAGAAGGAAAGAAAGAATGAATGAATGATATAAAAAAGAAAGAAAGAAAGAAAACCAACTGTTACTGAAAGAAAGAAATATGAAACCTGACAGAAATAAGAAGGAAAAGAAAAATGAATGAAGAAATAAACAAAGAAAGAAAGAAACAAACAAAATGAAGATGAAAAAAAGAAGATCATCAAAAAAAAAGGAAGAAAGAATAAAAGAAAGAAAGAAAAAAAAGAAAGAAATAAAAAGAAATAACCAAGAAAGATATATTAGTTTAAAAAAAGAAAACCCAAAAACGAAGAAGGGACAAATAAAAGAACAAAAAAAAAGAAATAATTCCCCAAAAAGATAGAAACAAAAAGGAAAACTGGAAAAGGAAAAAAATATCCAACAGAAAGAAAGGCAAAGAACAAAAATGAAAAGTAAAAAAATAAAGAAAGAAAAGAAAAACCGTAAAAGACAACAAAACAAAAGAAAGAAAGAACTAAAAGAATAAGAAACAAAAAAGAAGAACCAATAAAAAAAGAACATGAAATCTGAAAAGAAAAGAAGAAAGAAAGAAAATGAAAGATATAAAAAAAGAAAGAAAAACAAAAACTAAAAGAAATGAAAAAGAAAGAAAGAAGAAAATGAATAAACAAAAAAGAAAGAAGGAAGATGAAAGAAAATGAATGAAAAAGAAACAAAGAAGAAAGAAAACAAAAGAAAAAGAAACAAAACTAACCGTTAATGAAAAAAAGAAAGAAAGAAAGAAGAAGGAAAAAAAAGAAACAAAAAAGAAAGAATGAATGATATAAACAAAGAAAAGGAAGAAACAAAACTAAACAAAAAGAAAGACTAAAAGATGAAAACCCCAAAAAAAGAATGAGAAACAAAAAGAAAAGAAAAATTAAAGAAACAAAAGAAAAAAAAACAAAACTAAAACAAGAAAGAAAGAAAGAAAAGGTAAGGAAAGAACCAAGAAAAAAGAAAAGAAGAAAGAATCGGCAAAAAACAAAGAAAAAAAGAAAAAAAAAACCCCAAAGAAACAAAAATGAAAGAAAAAAAAAAAAGATGAAACCTAACCAAAAGGAAAGAAAGAAAGAATGAAAAAAAAAGAAAGAAAAAGATATCAGCCCCAAAGAAAGAAAACAAAAAGAAACAAAAAAGAAAGAAATAAAGAAACAAAAGAAAGAAAGAAAGAAAATAAAGAAAAAAAAGAAAAAAAAATGAAAAAAAAAGAAAACCAATAAACAAAAATGAAAGAAAGAAAACAAGAAACCTGACAAGGAAGAAAGAAGAAAAACAAAGAAAGAAAGAATAAAACAAAGAAACAAAGAGAAAGAAACAAAACAAAAGAAAGAAAGAACATGAAACCTGACAAGAAAAAGAAAGAAGGAAAGAAAAGAAAAATGAATGATATAAAAAAGAAGAAAGAAAGAAAAGAAACTAAAAAGAAATGTTAAAGAAAAAGAAAGAACATGAAAAACTGACAGAAAGAAAGAAGGAAAAAAAATGAATGAATGATATAAACAAAGAAAGAAAGAAAGAAAAAATCCGTTAATGAAAGAAAGAATATGAAAGATGACAGAAAGAAAGAAGGAAAGAAAGAAAAGAAATGAAAACTATAAAAAAGAAAGAAAAGAAACAAACTGACTGTTAATGAAAGAAAAGAAATATGAAAAACAAAAAGAAAAGAAAAGAAAAATAAAAGAAAGAATGAATGAATGATATAAACAAAGAAAAGAAAGAAAAAAAACTAACTGTTAATGAAAAAAAGAACATGAAACCTGACAGAAAGAAAGAAGGAAAGAAAGAATGAATGAATGATATAAACAAAAGAAAGAAAGAAACAAAAACTAAATTGTTAATGAAAGAAAGAACATGAAACCTGACAGAAAAGAAAGAAGGAAAGAAAGAATGAATGAATGATATAAACAAAGAAAGAAAGAAAGAAAATTCAACTGTTAATGAAAGAAAGAAACATGAAACCTGACAGAAAGAAAAGAAGGAAAAAAAGAATGAAAACAAATGATATAAACAAAAAAGAAAAGAACAAAACAAAAGAATGAAAAGAAAAATAAAAGAAAAAAGAAAGAAAATAAAGAAAAAAATGAATGAAAAAACAAAGAAAGAAAGAAACAAAAAACTAACTGTTAATGAAAGAAAGAACATGAAACCTGACAGAAAGAAAGAAGGAAAGAAAAGAATGAATGAATGATATAAACAAAAGAAAGAAAGAAAACAAAAAATAACAATTAATGAAAGAAAGAAAAATAAACAAAAAGAAAGACAGAAAAGATGTCAGAAAAGAAGGAAAGAAAGAAAGAATGAATGATATAAACAAAGAAAAAAGAAAGAAAAAAACATCCCCAAAAAGAAAGAACCAATGAAACCTGACAGAAAGAAAGAAGAAAATGAAAAAGAAAAAATGAATGATATAAAACAAAGAAAGAAAAGAAAAAAAAATAATGAACTGTTAATGAAAGAAAGAAACAAAAAAAAACTGACAAAAAAAGAAGGAAAGAAAGAATGAATGAACCAATAAACAAACAAAGAAAGAAAGAAACAAAACCAAAATGTTAATGAAAGAAAGAAATATGAAACCTGACAGAAAGAAAGAAAAAGAAAGAAAAAGAAAGAATGAATGAAATGATATAAGAAAACAAAAAAGAAAAAAAAAGAATAACCAAATGAAAGAAAGAAAGGAACTGAAACCAACAAAGAAAGAAAGAAGGAAAGAAAGAAAAATGAATGAAATAAAAACAAAAGAAACTAAAGAAATCAGAAAAAAACAAGAACCAAAAAACAAAGAAAAGAATGAAAGAAACCTGACAGAAAAAAGAAGAAAAAAACAAAAAAAATGAAAAGATGAATGATAGGAAGAAAAAGAAAGAAAGAAAAGAAATGAACTGATTAATGAAAGGTAGAACCATTAAACAAAAAGAAGACCAAAAGACGAAAGAAAAAAAAGAACCAAAAACAAAGAATGAATGAAATGATATTAATCCCCAAGAAAGAAAGAAACAAAAAACTGACCAAAAGATTAATGAAAAGAAAGAACCAATAAACAAAACAGAAAGAAAGAAGGAAAGAAAAAAGAAAAGAATGAATGAATGAACAAAATAAAAAAAAGAAAGAGAAAAAGAAAGAAAGAACATAAACAAAAAAAGAAAGAAAGAAAAAGAACATGAAACCTGAAACAAAAGAAAGAAAGAAAAAGAGAAAAGAATGAATGATAAATATGTCAACCCAAGAAAGAAAAAAAAACAAAAGAGAGACTAAAAGATGTTAATGAAAGAAAGAAAAGAACCACAAAATTAAACAAAAAAAGAAAGAAAAAGATAATGAAAAAAGAAAAACAAAGAAAGAAACAAAAAGAAAAAAAAAAATGTCAAACGAAAAAAGAAGAACCAATAAACAAAAAGAAAGAAAATAAAAGAAATGAACAAAAGAAAAAAAAAAAAGGAAGAAACAAATAAACAAAAAGAAAGAAAGAAAGAAAATCAGCCCCAAAGACAGAACCAAAGAACAAAAAGAAAGAATAAAAGAATGATCATAAACAAAGAAAGAAAGAAAACAAAACTAACTGTTAATGAAAGAAAAAAATGAAAACCTGAACAAAAGAAAGAAGGAAAGAAATCAAATGAATGAATGATAACCAATAAACAAAAGAAAGAAACAAAATGTAACCCCAAAAAGAAAAAAGAAAAAGAAAAAGAAGAAAGACAGAAAAAAAGAAGGAAAGAAAGAATGAATGAAATGATATAAAAGAAAAAAGAAAGAAAAAGAAAAAAAACAAAACAACTGTTAATATCAGAAAGAAATATGAAACCTGACAGAAAAGAAAGAAAACCAAAGAGAATGAAAGGAATGAACAAATAAAGAAAGAAAAAACTAAAAAATGAAACTGTTAAACCAAAAAAAAGAAAAGGAAGATGAAACCTGAAACAAAAAGAAAAAGAAACAAAAAGAAAGAAAATGAAAAGAAACCAAAAAGAAAGAAAGAAAAGAAACAAAACTAACTGTTAATGAGAAAAGAAATATGAAACCTGACAGAAAGAAAGAAAGAAAAAAAAAAAGAATGAAAGAAATCAAAGAAAGAAAAGAAAGAAAACAACTGTAAACAAAAAAGAAGAAATAAAAAATATGAAAGAAAAGAAAAGAAACAAAAGAAAAGAAAGAATGAATGAATGATATAAACAAAAAGAAAGAAAGAAACAAAACTAAAAGAAAACTAAACAAAAAAAGAAGATGAAACCACAGAAAGAAAAAGAAGGAAAAAAAAAATGAAATGAATGATATAAACAAAAAAAGAAAGAAACAAAACAAACTGTTAATGAAAGAAAAGAACACAGAAACCTGAAGAAAGAAAGAAAAGAAAGAAAGAAAGAATGAATGATATAAACAAAGAAAGAAAGAAACAAAAAACTAAATGAAAGAAAGAAAAGAAACAAACTCAGAAATAAAGAAGGAAAGAAAGAAAATGAATGAGAAAAAAGAAAAGAAAGAAACAAAAACTAACTGAACCAATGAAACAAAGAACAAGAAACCTGACAGAAAGAAAGAAGGAAAGAAAGAAAGATGAAACATAAAAGAAAGAAAGAAAAAAGAAAAACTAAGAAAGAAAAAGAAAGAACATGAAAGAAAGACAGAAAGAAAGAAGGAAGGAAAGAAAAAACAAAAAAAAAAAGAGACTAAAAGAAAGAAAGAAAGAAAGAAAAAAAAACAAAAGAAAGATGAAAAGAAAGAAGCCCCAAAAGAAAACCAATGAAACAAAAAAAAAAAAAGAAGGAAAGAAAAAGGAAGAACCAATAAACAAAAGAAAGAAAGAAAAGATGTCAAATGAAAAAAAAGAAACTGTTAAACAAAAGAAAGAAAAAAATATCAGAAACCCAAAAGAAAGAAGGAATAAAAAAGAAAGAATAAAAGATATAAAAAGAAAAAAAGGAAGAAACCAAAAACAAAAAGAATGAAAAAAGAACATCAAACCCAAACAAGAACCAAAGAAACAAAAGAAAGAATAAAAGAATGTCAAGGTAAAAAAAGAAACAAAAAGAAACCAAGATGTCAACCCCAAAAGTTAAACAAAAAGAAAAAACTAAAAGATGTCAGCCCCAAAAAGGAAGAAAGAATAAAAAAAAAGAAAGACTAAAAGATGTCAAGAAAGAAAAGGAAGAACCAATAAACAAAAAGAAAGACCAAAAGATGTCACCCCAAAAGAAACCTATAAACAAAGAAAGAAAGAAAAAAGAAAAGGTAATGACAATGTTAAAAAGAAACAGAAAGAAAAAGATGTCAGCCCCAAAAAGGAAGAACCAATAAACAAAGAAAGAAAAAAAGATATGAAAAGGAAGAACAAAAACAAAAGAAGAAAAGAATAAACAAAAGAAAGACTAAAAAGATGTCAGCCCCAAAAGGAAGAACCAATAAACAAAAGAAGACTAAAAGATGTCAAACCAAAAGAAAGAAAGAAGGAAAAGAAAGACTAAAAAGATGTCAAAGCCCAAAAAAGAAACAAAAACAAAAGAGAAACTAAAAGATGTCAAACCTGACAGAAAGGAAGAACCAATAAACAAAAAAATGAATGATATAAAGCCCCAAAAAGAAAGAAACCAAAAACAAAAGAAAGACTAAAAAAAAGAAGCCCCAAAAGGAAGAACCAAAGAAAAAAGAAAGAATAAAAAATGTCAGCCCAAAAGGAAGAACCAATAAACAAAAGAAAGACTAAAAAGATGTCAGCCCCAAAAGGAAGAACCAATAAAACAAAAAAGAAAGAAAGAAAAAGATGTCAGATAAAAAAGGAAGAACCAATAAACAAAAGAAAGAAAGAAAGAACATCAAAACTAACCAAAAGGAAGAACCAATAAAAAAAAGACTAAAAGATGTCAATAAAGATAACAAATAAACAAAAGAAAGAAAGATGTCAAAAAAGAAAAAATGAAAAGAAAGAACAAAAAATGTCAGCCCAAAAAGGAAGAAAGAAGGAAAAAAAAAACAAAAAAAAAAGAAAAGAAAAGAAACAAAAAAGACTAAAAGATGTCAAAAAAAGAAAGAACCAACAAACAAAAGAGAGACTAAAAGATGTCAGAAAAAAAGAACCAATGAACAAAAGAAGACTAAAAAGATGTCAAAAAAAGAAAACAAAAAAACAAAAAGAAAAAGAAAAAAGATGTCAAACCCAAAAGAAAGAACCAATAAACAAAAGAAAGACTAAAAGAAAATCATATAAAAAAAAGGAAGAACCAAATAAAAGAAAAAACAAAAAGAAAAAAAATGAAAGAAAGGAATGTCACCCCAAAAGGAAGAAAAAAAAAAGAAAGAAAGAAAAAGATGTCAGAATGAAAAGGAAGAACAAAAACAAAAGAAAGACTAAAAGAAATCAACCCCAAAAAAAAGAAAGAACCAAAAAACAAAAAGAAAGACTAAAAGATGTCAGCCCCAAAAGGAAGAACCAATAAAAAAAAAAGAAAAAAAACTAAAAGATGTCAGCCCCAAAAGGAAAAATAAACAAAAGAAAGACTAAAAGATGTCAAAAAAGGTAGAAAATGACAAACAAAGACAAAAGAAAAAAAAAAGAAAAAGATGTCAGCCCCAAAAGGTTAACCAAAACAAAAGAAAGACTAAAAATGTCAAAACAAAAAGAAAGAACCAAGGAAAAGAAAGACTGAAGAAAATGATACCAAAAAACAAAAGAAAAAACTAAAAATGAAAAGCCCCAAAAGAAAGAACCAATAAACAAAAGAGAAAGACTAAAAGATATCAGCCCCAAAAGGAAGAAAACAAAGAAACAAAAAAGAAAGACTAAAAGATGTCAAGAAAGAAAAGGAAGAAACCTAAACAAAAAAAGAAAAATAAGTCAAGAAAGAAAAGAAACCAATAAACAAAAGAAAAGAAACAAACTAAAAGAAAGAAAGAAGACTAAAAGACAAAGGACCCAAAAGGAAGAAAACAAAAGAAAGACTAAAAAATATCAAAGAAAGGAAGAAAAGAAAACAAAAGAAAGAGACTAAAAGATGTCAAAAAAGAAGGAAAAACCAAAGAAAAGAGAAACTGAAAGATGTCAAGCCCCAAAAGGAAGAACCAATAAACAAAAGAAAGACTAAAAGATATCAGCCCCAAAAGGAAGAACCAATAAACAAAAGAAAGACTAAAAGATGTCAATGCCCCAAAAAAAAAGAACCAAAGAAAATCATTAAAAAAAAAAAAAAAGAAAAAAAGAAGATGTCAATGAATGAAAAAAACAAAGAACCAAAGAAACAAAAAGAAAGACTAAAAGATATCAAACCCCAAAAGGAAGAACCAAGAAAAAAAAAAAAAGACTAAAAATGATATCAACAAAGAAAAAGAAGAACCAATAAACAAAAGAAAGACTAAAAGAAAAGTCAAAAAAAAAAGAAGAACCAATAAACAAAAAAAAAAAGACTAAAAGATGATCAGCCCCAAAAGGAAGAAACAAAAACAAAAGAAAACAAAGAAAAGATATCAAACCTGAAAAAAGGAAGAACCAATAAACAAAAGAAAGACTAAAAGATATCAGCCCCAAAAGGAAGAAAAAACAAACAAACAAAAATAAAAGACTAAAAGAACATCAAACCCCAAAAAGGAAGAACCAAAGAACAAAAGAAAGACTAAAAATAAAGAAAAAGGAAGAACCAAGAAAACAAAAAAAAAGACTAAAAGATAACAAAAGCCCCAAAAACAAAAAAAAAGATATCAGAAAAAAACAAAAAAGAAAGACTAAAAAGATATCAAAAAGAAAAAAGGAAGAACCAATAAACAAAAGAAAGACTAAAAGATATCAAACCCAAAAGGAAGAACCAAAAACAAAAAAAGAAAAGACTAAAAGATATAAAACCAAAAAAAAAAGAACCAATAAACAAAAAGAAAGAATAAAACAAAAGATATCAAAAGAAAGAAGGAAAGAAAAAATGAAGAACCAATAAACAAAAAAGAAAGACTAAAAAGATATCAGCCCCAAAAGGAAGAAACCAATAAAAAAAAAGAAAGACTAAAAGATATCAGCCCCAAAAAGAAAGAACCAAGAAACAAAAGAAAGACTAAAAGATGTCAGCCCCAAAAGGAAAGAACCAATAAACAAAAAGAAAGACTAAAAGATGTCAGCCCCAAAAGGAAGAACCAATAAACAAAAGAAAGACTAAAACTATCAGCCCCAAAAAGGAAGAACCAATAAACAAAAGAGAGACTAAAAAAGAATGAAAAAAAGGAAGAACCAAAAAAAGACTAAAAAACCCCAAAAGGAAGAACAAAAAACAAAAGAAAGACTAAAAGATGTCAGAAACCAAAAAAAAAGAACCAATAAACAAAAAAGAAAGACTAAAAGATATCAGCCCCAAAAAGAAGAACCAAAGAAACAAAAAAGAAAGAAAAAGATATCAGCCCCAAAAGGAAGAAACCAATAAACAAAAAGAAAGACTAAAATGATATCAACAAAGAAAAAGGAAGAACCAATAAACAAAAAGAAACTAAAACCTGTCAGCCCCAAAAGGAAGAACCAATAAACAAAAAGAAAGAAAGAAAAGATATCAAACCCAAAAAAAAGAAAGAACCAATAAACAAAAAAAAGACTAAAAGATATCAGCCCCAAAAAAGAAAGAACCAATAAAAAAAAAGAAAGACTAAAAATGAAGAACAATAAACAAAAGGAAGAAAGAAACCACAAAAAAAGAAAGACTAAAAAATGATATCAGCCCCAAAAGAAAGAAATAAAACAAAAGAAAGACTAAAAGATATCAACCCCAAAAGGAAGAACCAATAAAAAAAAAAGAAAAACTAAATAAAAGATATCAGCCCCAAAAGGAAGAAAATAAACAAAAAAGAAAGACTAAAAGATGAAAGCCCCAAAAGGAAGAAAGAAGAAACAAAAGAAAGACTAAAAGATGAAGAAACCAAGCCCCAAAAAAGAAGAAACAAAAACAAAAAAGGAAGAACATGAAAGAAAGAAAGATGTCAGCCCCAAAAGGAAGAACCAATAAACAAAGAAAGACTAAAAGATGTCAGCCCCAAAAGGAAGAACCAAACAAACAAAAAATGAAAGAAAAAGATGTCAGCCCCAAAAGGAAGAAGAAACAAAAGAAAGAAAAAAAGATGAAAACCTAAAAAGAAAGAAAAAGAAAGCCCCAAAAAACAAAAGAACCAAAGAAACAAAAGAAAAAGACTAAAAGATGTCAAGAAAGAAAAGGAAGAACCAATAAACAAAAGAAAGACTAAAAGATGTCAGCCCCAAAAGAAAGAACCAATAAACAAAAGAAAGACTAAAAGATATCAAACTAAAAAAAGGAAGAAACCAATAAACAAAAAGAAAGACTAAAAGATGTCAGCCCCAAAAGGAAGAAAACCAATAAACAAAGAAAGACTAAAAGATATCAGCCCCAAAAGGAAGAACCAATAAACAAAAAGAAAGACTAAAAAGATAAACTCAGCCCAAAAAAGGAAGAACCAATAAACAAAAAGAAAGACTAAAAGATATCAGCCCCAAAAGGAAGAACCAAAAACAAAAAGAAACTAAAAGATATCAGCCCCAAAAAGGAAGAAACCAATAAACAAAAAGAAAGAACCAATAAACAAAAGAAAGACTAATGAAAGAAAAAGATCAGCCCCAAAAAAGAAAAACAAACAAAAAACAAAAAGAAAAGACTAAAAGATGTCAGAAATAAAAAGGAAAGAACCAATAAACAAAAGAAAGACTAAAAAACAAAAACAGCCCCAAAAAGGAAGAACCAATAAAAAAAAGAAGAAAGACTAAAAGATATCAGCCCCAAAGGAAGAACCAAAAACAAAAAGAAAGACTAAAAAATATCAAGAAAAAAAGGAAGAACCAATAAACAAAAAGAAAGACTAAAAGATATCAGCCCCAAAAGGAAGAACCAATAAAACAAAAGAAGAAAAGATATCAACCCCAAAAGATGAACCAATAAACAAAAGAAAGACTAAAAGATATCAGCCCCAAAAGGAAGAACCAATAAACAAAAGAAAGACTAAAAAGATAAAGAAAGAAAAGGAAAACAAAACCAAAAACAAAAGAAAGACTAAAAGATGTCAGCCCCAAAAGGAAGAACCAATAAACAAAAGAAAGAAAGAAAAGATGTCAAAACCAAAAGGAAGAACCAAAGACAAAAGAAAGACTAAAAGATATCAGCCCCAAAAGGAAGAACCAATAAAAAAAAGAAAGACTAAAAAGATATCAAAACTAAAAGGAAAACCAAAAAACAAAAGAAAGACTAAAAGATGTCAAGGAAAAAAAGAAGGAAGAACCAATAAACAAAAAAGAAACTAAAAAACTATATCAATGAAAAGGAAGAACCAATAAACAAAAAAAAAGACTAAAAGATATCAATGAAAAAAAACAAAGAAAGAAGAACCAAAGAAACAAAGAAATTAAAAGAAAAGAAAACCAATGAAATCAAGAAAGAAAAAAAGATAACTCAGCCACAAAAAGAACCAATAAACAAAAGAGAGACTAAAAGATATCAGCCCCAAAAGGAAGAACCAATAAACAAAAGAAAGACTAAAAGATATGACAAAAGAAAGAAAAGGAAAGAATGAACCAATGAACAAAAAAGAAAGAAACTAAAAGAAACTAACAGCCCCAAAAGGAAGAACCAAAAGAAACAAAAAAGAAAGACTAAAAGATATCAGCCCCAAAAAGAAAGAAAAACCAATAAACAAAAAGAAAGACTAAAAAGATATCAGCCCCAAAAGGAAGAACCAATAAACAAAAGAAAGACTAAAAAAATCAGCCCCAAAAAAACGAAAAAAAAAAAAAAAAAGACTAAAAAAATATCAGCCCCAAAAGGAAGAAACCAATAAACAAAAGAAAGAAATAAAAAAGGAAGAACCAATCAAACCCCAAAAGGAAGAAAATAAACAAAAAGAAAGACTAAAAAGATATCAGCCCCAAAAGGAAGAACCAAAAACAAAAAGAAAGACTAAAAGATATCAGCCCCAAAAAAGAACCAATAAACAAAAAAAGAAAAAGAATCAAACCCCAAAAAGGAAGAAACAAAAAAAGAAAGAAAAAGAAAAAGATGAAGAAACCAAAGGAAGAACCAATAAACAAAAAGAAAGACTAAAAGATATCAAGAAAAAAACAAAAAAGGAAGAACCAATAAACAAAAGAAAGACTAAAAGACTAAAAGAAGAACCAATCAAAAGAAAGAAAAAAAGGAAGAACCAATAAACAAAAGAAAGACTAAAAAATGATATCAGCCCCAAAAGGAAGAAAACCAATAAACAAAAGAAAGACTAAAAGATATCAGCCCCAAAAAGAAGAACCAATAAAAGAAAAGAAAGACTAAAAGATATCAAACAAAAGAAAAAAGAAAAGATATCAAAAGGAAGAAACCAATAAACAAAAAAGAAAGACTAAAAGATATCAGCCCCAAAAGGAAGAACCAATAAACAAAAGAAAGACTAAAAAATATCAGCCCCAAAAAAGGAAGAACCAAAAAAAAAAAAGACTAAAAGATATCAAGCCCAAAAGGAAGAAACAATAAAACAAAAAGAAAGACTAAAAAATATCAGCCCCAAAAAAAAAGAACCAATAAACAAAGAGAAAGACTAAAAAGAAAGATAAAAAAAAAGAACCAATAAACAAAAGAAAGACTAAAAGATATCAGCCCCAAAAAAGGAAGAAACCAATAAACAAAAGAAAGACTAAAAGATATCAAGCCCAAAAGGAAGAACCAATAAACAAAAATATAAACCCCAAAGACTAAAAAAGAAAGATATCAAACCCCAAAAAGGAAGAACCAAATAAACAAAAAGAAAGACTAAAAGATATCAGCCCCAAAAAAGAAAGAAACAAAAAAAAAGAAAGACTAAAAAAGATATCAAACCCAAAAAGGAAGAACCAAGGAAACAAAAAGAAAGACTAAAAGATATCAGCCCCAAAAAAAGAAAAGAAAAACAAAAAGAAAGACTAAAAGATATCAATGAAAAGGAAGAAACCAATAAACAAAAGAAAGACTAAAAAATATCAAAAGAATGAAAAAGAAGAACCAATAAAAAAAAGAAAGACTAAAAGATATCACCCCAAAAAGAAAGAACCAATAAAAAAAGAAAGAAAAAGAAAAGAAGGAAAAGGAAGAACCAATAAACAAAAGAAAGACTAAAAGAAAACCAAGAAACAAAATAAAGAAAAAAAGAAATAAACATGAAACAAAAAACAAAAAGAAAGAAAGAAAAAAAATCAAGTCCAAAAGGAAGAACCAAAAACAAAAGAAAGACTAAAAGATATCAGCCCCAAAAGGAAGAACCAATAAACAAAAGAAAGAACTAAAACCTATCAAGAAAGAAAGGAAGAAAGAATAAAAAAAAATGAAAAGACTAAAAAGAATCAGAAAAAAAGAAAGAAAAAATAAACAAAAAAAAAGAAAAAAGATATCAACCCCAAAAGAAAGAACCAATAAACAAAAAGAAAGAAATAAAAGATATTAGCCCCAAAAGGAAGAAACCAAAAACAAAAAGAAAGAAAAAAAGATATGAAACCCCAAAAAGGAAGAAACCAATAAACAAAAAGAAAAGAATAAATGATATCAAAACAAAAGGAAAAGAAACCAAAGTAAACAAAAAGAAGAGAGAAAAGATATCAAACCCAAAAGAAAGAAAAAAAAAAAAGAAAGAAAAAAAAAGAATCATATAAAAGGAAGAAAAAACAAAAGAAAGACTAAAAGATATATAAAAAGAAAAGGAAAATGAAACCAAAAAAACAAAAAGAAAGAAACTAGAAAGCCCCAAAAAAAAAAAAGAAAAGAAAAGACGAAAAGATATCAGCCCCAAAAGGAAGAAAGAAAGAAACAAAAGAGAACTAAAAAAAAGAAAGAAATATGAAAAAGGAAGAAAGAAAGAAGGAAAAAAGAATGAAAGAATGAGCCCCAAAAGAAAGAACCAAGAAAAAAAAGAAAGACTAAAAGAAAAAGCCGTTAAAGGAAGAAAACAAATAAAAAAGAAAGAAAATGAAAGCCCCAAAAGGAAGAACCAATAAACAAAAGAAAGAATGAAAGATATCAACAAAAAAGAAAGAAACAAAAAAAAAAGAAAGAAAAAAATCAAAACCAAAAGGAAGAAACTAATAAACAAAAAGAAAGAATAAAAAGATATGAAATAGGAAGAACCAATAAAAAGAAAAAAGATATTAAAACCAAAAAGAAAACAAAAGAAAGACTAAAAGATATCAAACCTGGAAGAAAGAAAAACAAAAAAAAGACTAAAAAGATATCAAAAAAGGAAGAACCAAGAAACAAAAGAAAGACTAAAAGAAAGAAAAAGGAAGAAAACCAAAAACAAAAGAAGAGACTAAAAGATATCAAAAAAAGGAAAACTTATAAACAAAAGAAAGAAAGAAAGATATCAAACCCCAAAAAGGAAGAACCAATAAACAAAAAAAGAAAAAAAGATATCAGAAGGAAAGAAGAAAAACAAAAAGAAAAGATGAAAAAGGAAGAACCAATAAAAAAAAGAAAGAAAAAGAAACAAAAGGAAGAAACAATAAAACAAAAAGAAAGAACAAAAACCAGACAGAAAAAAGAAGGAAAAAAAAAAAATGAAAAAGATATAAACAAAGAAAGAAAGAAACAAAACTAACTGAAAAAAGAAATATGAAACCTGACAAAAAGAAAGAAAGAAAAAAGATATCAATGAATGAAAAACAAAGAAAGAAAAAACAAAAGAACTGTTAATGAAAGAAAGAACATGAAAATAAACAAAAAGAAGACTAAAAGAAGGAAAAAAAGAAAAGAAACTAAATGATATAAAAAAAAGAAAGAAAAAAAAACAAAAGTTAATGAAAAAAAAGAAAATGAAACCTAAAAAAAAGAAAGAAAAAAGAAAAAAGAACCAAAAAAAAAAGAAAGAAAAAGAAAGAAAAAGGAAGAACCAAAAACAAAAAGAAGACTAAACCAGACAGAAAACCAAAAAAGGAAAAAGAAAGAATAAAAAAAGAAGAACCATAAAAAAACAAAAGAAAGAAAGAAAGGAAAAACCAATAAACAAAAGAAAGACTAATGAAAGAAAGAACAATGAAACCTGACAAAAAATAAAGAAGGAAAAGAAAGAATAAAAAAAGAATGATATAAAAAAGAAAGAAAGAAACAAAAAAAGAAAGAAAAGAAAGAAAGAAGAAACAATGAAACAAAAGAAAGACTAAAAGAAAGCCCCAAAAGGAAGAACTAATAAAAAAGAATGAATGAAAGATATAAATAAAGAAAAAGAAAGAAACAAAAACAAAAGTTAATGAAAAAGATAAAGAAAATGAAAACCAATGAAGAAAAAGAAAGAAGGAAAGAAAGAAAAAAAGGAAGAACCATAAACAAAAAGAAAGAAAGAAAAAAGAACAGTTAATGAAAACCAAAAAACAAAATGAAACCTGACAGAAAGAAAGAAGGAAACAAAAAGAAAGAAAATGATATGAAATAAAGGAAGAAATAAAAGAAACAAAAGAAACTGTTAATGAAAGAAAGAACATGAAAAAAAAGAAAGACAAAAGATAAAGAAAAGGAAGAAAAAAAAAAGAAAGAATAAAAATATAAACAAAAAAAAGAAGAAATAAACAAAAAGAAAGACTTAATGAAAGAAAAAAAAGAAACCAAAAACAAAAGAACTAAATGAAAGAAAAAAGGAAGAACCAATAAAAAAAAGAAAGATATAAAAGAAAAGAAAAAGGAAGAAACAAAAACAAAAGAAAGAAAAGAAAGAAAGAAACATGAAACCTGACAGAAAGATAAGAAAAGGAAAAAAGAAAAAACAAAAGAATGAAAGAAAGATATAAACCCCAAAAAAAGAAAAGAAAAAATAAAAAAAAGATATCAACCCCAAAAGGAAGAAACAAAAAAAAAGAATGAAAAAAGAAAAACCCCAAAAGAAAGAAAAGAAAAAAAAAAAAGAAAGAAAAAAAAGAAAGAAAAAAGAAAAGAACCGTTAAACAAAAAGAAAGAACATGAAACCTGACAGAAAGAAAAAGGAAAAAAAAGAATGAATGAATGAAAAAAGAAAGAAAAGGAAGAAACAAAACCAACTGTTAAAAAAAAAGAAAGATGAAACCCCAAAAGAAGAAATAAAACAAGGAAAAAAGAAAATGAAATGAATGATATAAACAAAGAAAAGAAAGAAAGAAAACCCTGTTAATGAAAGAAAAGAACATGAAAGACTGACAGAAAAAAAGAAGGAAAAAAAGAATGAATGAAATGATATAAAAACAAAGAAAGAAAGAAACAAAAAAACAAAAGAAAAGAAAGAAAGAACATGAAACCTGACAGAAAGAAAGAAGGAAAGAAAGAAAGGAATGAATGATAAAACAAAGAAAGAAAGAAAAAAAACTAACCGTTAATGAAAGAAAGAACATGAAAAAAGACAGAAATAAAGAAGGAAAGAAAAGAATGAAATGAATGATAAAACAAAGAAAGAAAAGAAAAAAAACTAACCGAACCAATGAAAGAAAGAAAATGAAACCTGAAGAAAGAAAGAACAAAAAGAAAGAAAATGAATGAAAAGAATGAATGATATAAACAAAGAAAGAAAAAACAAAACTAACTGTTAATGAAAGAAAAAAGAACATGAAACCCAAAAAGAAAAGAAAAGAAAAAAGAAAAAGAATGAATGAAAAAAATATAAAACAAAGAAAGAAAAAAAACAAAAACTAACCGTTAATGAAAGAAAGAACATGAAACAAACAGAAAGAAAGAAGGAAAGAAAGAAAAGAATGAATGATATAAACAAAGAAAGAAACAAACAAAACTAACCGTTAATGAAAAAAAAGAACATGAAACCTGACGAAAGAAAGAAAGAAGGAAAGAAAAAAGAATGAATGAAATGAAAATAAAAACAAAGAAAGAAAGAAACAAAATAACCGTTAATGAAAGAAAGAAAGATGAAACCTGACAGAAAGAAAGAAGGAAAAAAAAAGAATGAATGAAAGATATAAACAAAGAAAAGAAAGAAACAAAAAAGACAACCGTTAATGAAAGAAAAAAATGTGAAACACGACAGAAAGAAAACCAGGAAAGAAAAATGAATGAATGATATAAACAAAAAAGAAAGAAACAAAAACAAACCGTTAATGAAAAAAGAAAGAAATGAAACCTGACAGAAAGAAAGAAGGAAAAAAAGAATGAATGAATGATATAAACAAAAGAAAAGAAAGAAACAAAAAAACAAAATAAAGAAAAAAGAACATTAAAAACTGAAAAGAAAGAACAAATAAATGAATGAATGAAAAACAATGAAAATGAAAAAGAAAGAAAGAAGGAAAACAAAGAATGAAAGAAAAAGAACCAATAAACAAAGAAAGAAAGAAAAAAAACTGAATGATATAAACAAAGAAAAGAAAAAACAAAATGAAACTGAAAAAGAAAGAACATGAAACCTGACAGAAAGAAAGAAGGAAAGAAAGAATGAATGAATGATATAAACAAAGAAAGAAAGAAACAAAACTAACCGTTAATGAAAGAAAGAACATGAAACCTGACAGAAAGAAAGAAGGAAAGAAAGAATGAATGAATGATATAAAGAAAGAAAGAAAGAAACAAAACTAACCGTTAATGAAAGAAAGAATATGAAACCTGACAGAAAGAAAGAAGGAAAGAAAAAAAATGAATGAATGATATAAACAAAGAAAGAAAGAAACAAAAAAAAACTGTTAATGAAAGAAAGAACATGAAACCTGACAGAAAGAAAGAAGGAAATAAAGAATGAATGAATGATATAAACAAAGAAAGAAAGAAAAAACCGTTAATGAACTGTTAATGAAAGAAAGAAATGAAGAAAAGAAAAAAGACAGAAATAAAGAAGGAAAGAAAGAATGAAATGAATGAAATGATAAAAAAGAAAGAAACCTGACAGAAAAAAGAAAAAGAAAATTAAATGATAAAAAAAGAAAAAGAAAAAAAAACCTTAATGAAAGAAAGAAAGAAACCTGAAAGAAAAAAGAAAAGAATGAATGAATGATATAAACAAAGAAAGAAAGAAACAAAAACTAAACTGTTAATGAAAGAAAAGAACATGAAACCTATAAAGAAAGAAAAATAAGGAAAAAAAAAGAATGAAATGAATGATATAAAAAAAGAAAGAAAAAACAAACAAAACTAAAAAATAAATTAATGAAAGAAAGAACATGAAACCTGACAGAAAGAAAGAAGGAAAGAAAGAATGAATGAATGATATAAACAAAGAAAGAAAGAAACAAAACTAACCGTTAATGAAAGAAAGAACATGAAACCTGACAGAAAGAAAGAAGGAAAGAAAGAATGAATGAATGATATAAACAAAGAAAGAAAGAAACAAAAAACAACGTTAATGAAAAGAAAGAACATGAAACCCTGACAGAAAGAAAGAAAGAAAAGAAAGAATGAATGAATGATATAAACAAAGAAAGAAAGAAACAAAACTAACCGTTAATGAAAGAAAGAACATGAAACCTGACAGAAATAAAGAAGGAAAGAAAGAATGAATGAATGATGTAAACAAAGAAAGAAACAAACAAAACTAACCGTTAATGAAAGAAAGAACATGAAACCTGACAGAAAGAAAGAAGGAAAGAAAGAATGAATGAATGATATAAAACAAATGAAAAGAAATAAAACAAAAAACTAACCGTTAATGAAAGAAAGAACATGAAACCTGACAGAAAGAAAGAAGGAAAGAAAGAAAAATGAATGATATAAACAAAGAAAGAAAGAAACAAAACTAACCGTTAATGAAAGAAAGAACATGAAACCTGACAGAAATAAAGAAGGAAAGAAAGAATGAATGAATGAATGAATGAAAGAAACAAACAAAAGAAAGAAAGAAAGAAAATGAAACCAGTTAAAGAAAAAGAAAGAACATGAATGAAACCTGACAAAGAAAGAAAAGAAAGAAAGAAAAAAAAGAAAGAAAAAGAAATGAATGAATGAATGATAAAACAAAGAAAATGAAAAAGAAACAAAACTAACTGAAGGAATGAAAGAAAGAATGATGAAACCTGAAGAAAGAAAGAAGGAAAAAGAAAGAATGAAAAAGAAAGAAGGAAAGAAAGAAAGAAACAAAAACAAACTGTTAATGAAAAGAAAGAAATACGAAACAAAGACAGAAATAAAAGAAGGAAAGAAAGAATGAATGAATGATATAAACAAAGAAACAAACAAAACTAACCGTTAATGAAAGAAAGAACATGAAACACGACAGAAAGAAAGAAGGAAAGAAAGAATGAATGAATGATATTAACAAAGGAAGAATGAAACAAAAGTCACCGTTAATGAAAGAAAGAACATGAAACCTGACAGAAAGAAAGAAGGAAAGAAAGAATGAATGAATGATATAAACAAAGAAAGAAAGAAACAAAACTAACCGTTAATGAAAGAAAGAACATGAAACCTGACAGAAAGAAAGAAAGAAAGAAAGAATGAATGAATGATATAAACAAAGAAAGAAAGAAACAAAACTAACCGTTAATGAAAGAAAGAACATGAAACCTGACAGAAGGAAAGAAGGAAATAAAAAATAAATGAATGATATAAACAAAGAAAGAAAGAAACAAAACTAGCCGTTAATGAAAGAAAGAACATGAAACCTGGCAGAAAGAAAAAAGAAAGAAAGAAAGAATGAATGAATGATATAAACAAAGAAAGAAAGAAACAAAACTAACCGTTAATGAAAGAAAGAACATGAAACCTGACAGAAATAAAGAAGGAAAGAAAGAATGAATGAATGATATAAACAAAAAAGAAAGAAAGAAAACTAACCGTTAATGAAAGAAAGAACATGAAACCTGACAGAAATAAAGAAGGAAATAAAGAATGAACGAATGATATAAACCAAGAAAGAAAGAAAGAAAACTAACCGTTAATGAAAGAAAGAACATGAAACCTGACAGAAATAAAGAAGGAAATAAAGAATGATTGAATGATATAAATAAAGAAAGAAAGAAAGTAAACTAACCGTTAATGAAAGAAAGAACATGAAACCTGACAGAAATAAAGAAGGAAAGAAAGAATAAATGAATGATATAAACAAAGAAAGAAAGAAAGAAAACTAACCATTAATGAAAGAAAGAACATGAAACCTGACAGAAATAAAGAAGGAAAGAAAGAATGAATGAATGATATAAACAAAGAAATAAAGAAACAAAACTAACCGTTAATGAAAGAAAGAACATGAAACCTGACAGAAAGAAAGAAGGAAAGAAAGAATGAATGAATGATATAAAGAAAAAAGAAAGAAACAAAACTAACCGTTAATGAAAGAAAGAACATGAAACCTGACAGAAAGAAAGAAGGAAAGAAAGAATGAATGAATGATATAAACAAAGAAAGAAAGAAACAAAACTAACCGTTAATGAAAGAAAGAACATGAAACCTGACAGAAAGAAAGAAGGAAATAAAAAATAAATGAATGATATAAAACAAAGAAAGAAAGAAAACAAAAACTAACCGTTAATGAAAGAAAGAAATATGAAAAACCTGACAGAAAGAAAGAAGGAAAGAAAGAATGAAATGAATGATATAAACAAAGAAAGAAAGAAAGCAAAAGTCAACTGTTAATGAAAGAAAGAACATGAAACCTGACAGAAAGAAAGAAGGAAAGAAAGAATGAATGAATGATATAAACAAAGAAAGAAAGAAACAAAACTAACCGTTAATGAAAGAAAGAACATGAAACCTGACAGAAAGAAAGAAGGAAAGAAAGAATGAATGAATGATATAAACAAAGAAAGAAAGAAACAAAACTAACCGTTAATGAAAGAAAGAACATGAAACCTGACAGAAAGAAAGAAAGAAAGAAAGAAAGAATGAATGAATGATATAAACAAAGAAAGAAAGAAACAAAACTAACCGTTAATGAAAGAAAGAACATGAAACCTGACAGAAAGAAAGAAGGAAATAAAGAAATGAAATGAATGATATAAAGAAAGAAAAAAAAAAAAAACAAAACTAACTGTTAATGAAAGAAAGAACATGAAACCTGACAGAAATAAAGAAAGAAAAAGAGAATGAATGAATGATGTAAACAAAGAAAGAAAGAAACAAAACTAACCGTTAATGAAAGAAAGAACATGAAACCTGACAGAAAGAAAGAAGGAAAGAAAGAATGAATGAATGATATAAACAAAGAAAGAATGAAACAAAAGTCACCGTTAATGAAAGAAAGAACATGAAACCTGACAGAAAGAAAGAAGGAAAGAAAGAATGAATGAATGATATAAACAAAGAAAGAAAGAAAGAAAACTAACCGTTAATGAAAGAAAGAACATGAAACCTGACAGAAATAAAGGAGGAAATAAAGAATGAATGAATGATATAAACAAAGAAAGAAAGAAACAAAATTAACCGTTAATAAAAGAAAGAACACGAAACCTGACAGAAAGAAAGAAAGAAAGAAAAAAAGAAAGAATGAATGAATGATATAAACAAAGAAAGAAAGAAACAAAACTAACCGTTAATGAAAGAAAGAACATGAAACCTGACAGAAAGAAAGAAGGAAAGAAAGAATGAATGAATGATATAAACAAAGAAAGAAACAAACAAAACTAACCGTTAATGAAAGAAAGAACATGAAACACGACAGAAATAAAGAAGGAAAGAAAGAATGAATGAATGATATAAACAAAGAAACAAACAAAACTAACCGTTAATGAAAGAAAGAACATGAAACACGACAGAAAGAAAGAAGGAAAGAAAGAATGAATGAATGATATAAACAAAGAAAGAAAGAAACAAAACTAACCGTTAATGAAAGAAAGAAGATGAAACCTGACAGAAAGAAAGAAGGAAAGAAAGAATGAATGAATGATATAAACAAAGAAAGAAACAAAACTAACCGTTAATGAAAGAAAGAACATGAAACACGACAGAAAGAAAGAAGGAAAGAAAAAATGAATGAATGATATAAACAAAGAAAGAAAGAAACAAATCTAACCGTTAATGAAAGAAAGAACATGAAACCTGACAGAAATAAAGAAGGAAAGAAAGAATGAATGAATGATATAAACAAAGAATGAAAGAAACAAAAGTCACCGTTAATGAAATCTGAAAGAAAGTTCTTTGAAAAACATCAAAATATTAACCTTCAAACAATGAAAGAATGAATAGATGAAAGAACGAAAGAAGAAAGGAGTATATACAAGAAAAAAAAATGAGTGAAAAAAAAAATAGTTCTAGGCAGGAAACATAAGAATTTTGGTGAGAAAAAGAAATATTTGAAAATGCTGAAACTATTGCTTGTTTTCTTTAATGTTAGTCTCTCTTCCTTTTCCCTCCTACTATGTTTTCTTTCTCATTTCATTCCTCCCTAAGTCACTCTTCTAACCGTCCTTTCTCTTTCTCTCCTTATTTTCTTCCCACTCCTCATTCCTCTCTCTCTCTCTCTCTCTCTCTCTTTTCCTCCTTTTTTTGTAAATTATCACCCTTCTTTTTCTCCTTCTTGCACTTAGTCTTCTTCTTGTTTGTCTTTTTATTTCTCTTCTTACTGACTTCTCTCTTTTACTCCCTTTCTATTTCACCTTCTTTACTGACTGAATTTTACTCCCTTTTATTTCACACTGACTTCTCTTTTACCCTTTCTATTTTCACCTTAATCACTGACTTCTCTTTTACTCCCTTTCTATTTCACCTTCTCTTCTTACTGACTTCTCTCTTTTACTCCCTTTCTATTTCACCTTCTCTTCTTACTGACTTCTCTCTTTTACTCCCTTTCTATTTCACCTTCTTCTTCACTGACTTTCTTCATTGAAAATTTCAAACTCTTCGCCTTCTTTCGTTTCTCTTCTAGTTTCTTTCCTACCGGCCCGGAATCTACTGCCTTCTTCAGTTTTTTTTTTTTTTTTTTTTTGTTGGTTTGTTTGTTTTTTCCTTTTTAGTTGCTTTGCCCCACTTAGTTTTGAAAAATTAGCCACAGCTGCGGGAGACCCGGTTAGGATAAAACTCTTTACTAAAAATCTACAAATTTAACTTCTTGACCATCACACGATGTCGCATTTAAAATCCGAAGGTACATTGGTGTAGCGAAAGATGTCTTCAGAAAGCTAAGAAAAATATCAAGAAAAAAGAAAAATTTCATTAGAAACAAAGAAAAGAGTGCTGAACTATTACATAATATCAGTTCATCTCTCTCTCTCTCTCTATATATATATATATATATATATATATATATATATATATGAATGTTGGACAATCTTCTCAGGTGAAGAGAAGAGTTGAGGTAACAGAAATGCGGTTCTACAGAAGGATGCTGAGAATACCATGGCCTGAAAATGTGGGTAACGAGAAGTTTTAATAAAAATTGAAACAACAGTTATACTTACAATCAGAAAGAGTTTAAATTTCTATGTGACATAATGAGGAAAGAGAGCTTGGAGAATTTGACACTCAGAGGATATATCGAAGGCAAGATTAACAGGCGGAAACAAAGAGTGGCCTATCGAACGAGCTTGTGTAAATCAATAGCTAACAAGTAGTCGAACGGATACTGAAAACACATACCTTACGAAAAAATTATAGAACGTTGTGGAGAGTCATGATCACGTGAAATGACGGCATATAGAAAAATAGCTTAGTTTGAAACAAAGTCATACGTATGGAGCAGTCAATGAAGATTGAACTCTGTATAGAGTAATAATAGCCAAACAGTTCGTTAACAATTACCTCACGCTGAAGTTTCGATTATTCGTTGATTATGTAAGTACGTTTATGGAAAGAAATTCATTGGTCTATGAGGTTCTGATGCCAAAGCGAAGGAATGACGTAAATGGCTTGGACATGCAATTAGTCCTGGTGGAGAAAGAAAGGTGGAGAGGTCGCAACCAGGATTGAGAGTGCTGGAAGCAACATATTATGGAAACGAAGGTCTAAATAAAATAAAAGAAAGAAATCATCGAAGACGAAAGAAGACTGAATAAAAATTGGCCATTGATATATGCCTAAAGCTTTTTCCTATTTTCAATCTTTCTCCTCCCAGATGAAGACAATATATAATAAAAAAAAAAAAAACTAGTTTGGAAAAGCGCCGGAACCGAAAAAAAAAGCAGTTGCTTTCAATATTTTCAATGTTGCTTATAAAACATCCGTCATGTTCCATACACAGCAATAACAAAAAAGTTGGAGATCTCAAATTTAGTAAGTTGTTACAGAATTCGAAGTCCAGGGCAAGAACTTTTTTCTTTTTTTTTTTAATTTTTAGATTCAGGAAGCTTCTTAAAAGGGCTTTTAGATAAATTAAAAATGTGGCACGTCTATATAAGATTTTAATAATAATACTAACTGAACGGCTATACATAGCAATATTAATGTTGAATATACAAAATAAGATAATTACCCGTAAACTAATAAATTTTGGCTATAGGAAATAGTAATATGTAATTTTTTAAAATTTAACTATGTTTTAAGGTAAAAGATAAACTGTGTCCGCAATTTAGAATTAATTCACTCCTTTGGTTTAATAGGGATTTTTGTCAGCAAATTTAATAATTTCTATTTTTTCATGTAAACATAAAATTTAAATTGAAATTCAACGTTGCTTCTTATGTTTACATGAAAAATTAAAGTTTTTCATATGTTTTATATATGTGAGTATACATATATATATATATATATATATATATATATATATATATATATATATATATATATATATATATATATATAATATTATTTTTAAAAAATTATAAAAATATGTTATAAACCACTACAAAATAGCTATTTTCTTTTCACCACCCTCGGTGTCTTATCAAGTTATGATGTTGAAGATAAAAATTTTGTAGTGATTTTATAACATATTTATATTATAAATTTTTTTTTATAAAAATAATTATATCAGGTCTACTTTTGTATTGAGCACTTTATAAGAATAGTAATTGTTGGTTATTGAATTCATTCTGTATACACCAATTATATACTTGTATATATATATATATATATATATATATATATATATATATATAAATTTCAATATAAATTATTATATATACATATACAACTAATATTTTAATATACTTTAATACTAATATTTTAACTTTATCAATATATGATATAAAAATATGTGATTACCGTCAATCTGTCCATCCTTCCGTTACACCCTCTAAAATAGTCATATATTGACCGATGGAAACCAAATTTTGGGGAGAAGTGCAAACAGGTAAAGGGATATAAAATACCGTTGGTTTTATTAGGGTGCGTACCTTAGTGCAATAAATACTTCTCGTTTTCACTCTCGCGTGGTCATGTGTGACGTCACGAGCTCCGGTGCGATTTTCGCTTCCAGCATCTTATATGCACGAATTTGACGTTGCTTGGAAATCTTCCATGTAACAGAAAGCGACTATCATCACTGTCTTGCCCGTGTATTGCTTAATATATTGTAATGTAATTGTCATCTTTGATAATGGCTTATGCAAGCCGAAAGCTTAGATATGATTAAAAAATATGTATCAATATTGGGATTTTCTTTCTTCGTTTAATGGTAATGTTATTAAGTTTATCAGACGATATGAAAAGAATTTACATAAAATAAATAGACAACACTTATCTACATTATTTAATGAAACATGCATCAATATATATATATATTTAAAGATATTTTTGTAGGTACAAAATTTAATGATCGAAATAAAAGTATAAAAGTTAATATTACGAGACATATTAAAAACGGGCAGAAACAACCGGTTTCGCTCGCTTTTCAGGCTTCAACAGATTTAAAATTAACACAGAAAATGTACAATAAAAGGAAGTTGTGAAAAGTTGTTTTATTTTTTTTTATTTTTTCTCTTTTCACAACTTCCTTTCAGTGTACATTTTTCTGTGTTAATTTTAAATCTCTTGTTGAAGACTGAAGAGCGGGAGCGAAACCGGTTGCTTTGCCTGTTTTTAATATGTCTCGTAATATTAAGTTTTATACTTTTATTTTTATATATATATATATATATATATATATATATATATATATATATATATATATATATATATATATATATATATATATATATATATATATATAATTCTGGTAAAATATTATGCATAGTGATAGCACTGTAAATATAAGTACAGTATGTAGAGTACAGTTGTAAATCTTGACAAAAATGTTAGCGATAACTTCAACAATACTAAATAATGACTATTTCAACAGGCGTTAGTGTGTTGCAAAAAAAATTCTAGTATATGATAAGTTATTCATCGACATTAAGTCTTTTTTTTATTTTAGAAGTAAAGAAAAACAGACGAACGTTTAAACTCGTAGTGAATCTTTATTCAATAAAATTTGTCTCCTGACCATATGTGACATTTGACCTTTTCTTTTATAGTCAAGACGTTCAAGGTGGAGACAACTGTAGATGCCTTCCACTACAGGAGACTCTCGTATCCATGATGATAATTCTATTTCCACGATCTGACGGAAATATTTTTGGATAATTTTTTCAATGTTTTTGTCCTTTCAGTAATGCTATTTCATTATCTGTCCCTAATATCGCCAGTAATTTTTCCCTTTATGAAGACTTTGTTGAAATCTTTATCATTTTGCTTGTGGCTGTAAAGTATTGTGTTTAATATGTCTTCTTTTGTAATCTCAGCTTTAACCTTTCGCTGGAAAAGAAAGGCTTGGAAAAGCTGTGTCGGCTTCAGACAAAGAGAATTTATAATGTTCAGCTTTCAACGATGAAGAAACATATACAGAAAAAACTTTCATGTGCTCTAATAAACAAAATATTTAATATACGTATATATATATATATATATATATATATATATATATATATATATATATATATATATATATATATATATATATATATATATGTACGTTAACTCAACAACAATAGGTTAAGTCAAAAACTATCCACACTTTAGATTTGTAGCACTACCTTCTGTTGGTGCGTATTTATAGTTAATACCATTCTGGACAAATAATCTCGACACCCTACACATCTGCACAGACGGGCGAATGAGCAAACGCGCGAACGCACGCACACACTATGAAAAAAAAAATTTGCACCAATCATAACAGCATATACAAAAGAATAATCGTGAAGTATAAGCAGTCAATTTCTGATACCCTTGACGAGTGGACGGAGGGGTCAGTCTACTGCGCCCCGAGTGGATGGATGTAACAACAATTTGCTATATATAAATATATATATATATATATATATATATATATATATATATATATATATATATATATATATATATATATATATATATATAAAAAGCTACTGATAGGGTTCTGTGGTGAAGTTTTTTTTATACTTTTTCGTACATTCTAATAATTTTTTTTTGTCGTTTCAGCACATAATTATATAAAAATTGTCCTTTTTTTTTTATATATATATCCAAGCGGTTTCAGATATACTTTTATTCATTATCAAGGATAAATTTCATTTTAGTGGACAATTTTTACATAATTTTTGTCCTGAAAAGAAAAAAAATTATAAGAACACATGAAAAATTATATTAAAAAAAAACTTAATCACAGCACTTTGTCTGTCATTTTTAACGAAATTTGCATAAAAGAGCGCTTGGTGCTCAAATACAAATTTATATGTATCTATATATATATATATGTGTGTGTGTGTGTGTGTGTGTGTGTGTGTGTGTGTGTGTGTGTGTGTGTGTGTGTGTGTGTGTGTGTGAATCAGTGCTGATAGTAATAAAACTGCTCAATGTAAAATAACAGAGTTAAAATTTCTACTACTAATGAATATACATTTGTTCCTTTATATCTGAAATAAAAGCATTATATAT